GAGAGAGAGAGAGAGTGTTTGCGCGTGCGTGTGTGTGTGTGTGTGTGTGTGTGTGTGTGTGTGTGTGTGTGCGTGCGTGTGTGTGTGTGTGTAAATATTGCAGTTATACAGATGGTAGTTAAGGCAAACTGTGCAGACACTATTCTCATTTTTTGGTTCAACATTCTTTTCTTTCAAAAGTAGCCCAATATGTTTGTGCTTCCTGATAACACTAGCGCAAGCAGTCCAGCGTTTCACCTGCCTTGAGTTACACACTGGACTCAACTATCGCCTATAGGAAACATATTAATAGGGAAATGTTCATATTCGTACTGGAATGTACAATAGGTAAACATAATGGGGAAATGTTCACATTCTGGCTGTGAGGAAGTTATTGTGGTCGTGAAAATGCATGCTTGGGTAGTTGGCAGTCAAATTGGCCCAACTACTGAAATATTTACAGAGCATGGCAAATTGACTGTCTTGGAAGGAGTAGTAAGACTGTGCTTTCATGGAAAAACACAGACACACACTGACACACATACGCTCACGCACACGCAAGCTGTCTGGATTGTTGAGATATTCGTTTAATACCTTCACAATAGACTAAAACTCCATCCTCACCAGTTAGGGGAATCACAGCACTCAGACTACATTTCTTCCGTTGTGGATGAGGTGGATGCAGGAAGGAATGCAGGAAAATACAACATTTGGATCCAATCTGCAGCAAAAATCCTAAAATATTTTCTGTGGAATCCTTCAAACCGTTGTCATTACGTCTCATAATTAAAGGGGGAATTGCCCGTTTTCAAACTCCTAGCAAGATTTGAATGTATTAATTAACTTGGATGGTTTGGACATTGGAGAGCTTTTTTTACCTGTTGTTGCATTTTCATAAACATGACAAAAACTACAGCTGTACCATGTTGAATCAACTCGTTCAATCATACCGTAGCCCATGTATGACGAATCTTATCAAAGCATCTTTATTGGAGATATTCATACCTCGAGTAGCCTCACTTCCCCTAAGCGAATTTGTGCGAGACATGCACTGTAACGTGCATGGTAAACAAGCTGTCCTTAGCCACGGCTGCTATATTGCTAGCATGAGTTATTCATGATCGAGTGACATGTTGCCCTTTTTTTTTTGGTCTGGGGAGCTGTCCAATTCCTTCTTTTCACTCTTGTTGCGAACCGGGGGTAAATAATCCGGCCAAGAAACCGAGGCTGATGGGTGTGCCCATGTGCGAATGGCATATGATTGGAGAGAATCCTGGGTCACACCTTCTGTCTCCACAGTCTCTGACTGGCTGTTCTTGTGAAGGTCCATCCATCCATTTTCTGATCCGCTTTCTCCTCACAAGGGTCACGGGGCATGCTGGAGCCTATCGCAGCTTTCTTCGGGCAGTAGGCGGAGGACACACACCCTGAACTGGCACACAGAGACGAACAACCATCCGCACTCACACTCACAGCTAAGAACAATTTAGAGTGATCAATCAGCTTGCCAGGAATGTTTCTGGAATGTGGGAGGAAACCGAAGTACTCAGAGAAAACCCACACAGGCATGCGATCGAACCCACGACCTCTGCACTGTGAGGTCGACGTGCTAACCACCCCCCCCCACCGGGTTTTTGTGAAGGTGTTTTTAAAAAATAATAATTAGAATAAAATTAGAGACCTATATTGAGGTCAGGGAGGGAATATCTAAATAATTTAACTGAATGGGTAAAAACAATAAAATATGAACATAGCTGCTTGTGGCTCCCAGTGTTGCCTTTTCCGTGGAAACTGGGTCGAAATGGCTCTTTGAGTGTCAAAGGTTGCCAAATCTTGCATTAGACACTCAGAGGTTCACATTTTGTGCCTTTTTTTTGATACTTAATGCTCCTCTTGCCATCCCAACAGGGAATCTAACCCGATGCATTTCCACACCATTTCTACAGGGTTCCCAATCCCGGAATGGTCCAGCATCAAAAGAGACCATTATGGACTGTCAAGGTCATTCGTGTGGATTGTACATTTAAGACATGCCGATCAATAACTGACATTCAGCTGTTTGATCTCTCATTAGCAAAGACGCATGTTGTCAATAACAGTTTTATATCCAACATCATATATCAGCTTGTCCTCCGAGACTTATCAGTTTTTGAGTGTTGGCAGCTAATATGGAGCTCTGACTGTGAGGCCAGATCCTGTCTGAGGGTCATTATGTTCTTTTTGCAAAGTAGAGAGGCCTCTTCAGCAGTGAGGATGCAATTCGGTCACCTGCACCCTCAAGGAAAGACAGGAAGGAACAAAGAAAGGGAAGGAAGGGCACTGAGGACGGATTTAACTTTTTTTTTTGCTGAGCTAGTCAGCTGAAAACTAATGTCGAGGCAAACAGATGTTACCTGCAAAGACGGTGCCTGATACAGAGCTCGGTTAGCTTTGACCTGCCTTGCACAAACACCTTCATAAACCACCTTCGTTCTTATAGCACCGTTTTTCAACAATGTAGTACTTCTACAACAGGGAACGCTAATGAAAATCTATTTTTTAATACACAGTGTTCAACTGTTATCAATGGAAAGGCAAAAAAAAAAAAATCTGTCTTTGACAAAAAAAGTCACACTTGTGGAAATGCGGCTTCGCAGTGACAGAAATTAAACTGGCAAAAATGTGAAGGGATAAATGGACTGTTGCTTATAATATGAGGAACTTGGTGTCATGTTCTAAAACGTTAATGTTTTGATCTCTCCTTCTGTGTTGGTCTTCTCGTCTTGATGAGACAACTGAAATGTGATTTTCCTGGAAATGGTCTCAATTTTCTCGTGATGCAGGCGCTGGTTGGGCCCAACAACCCCGACAATCAACCCCAAAACAATTTACCGATTTCCCCAGCTCGAGTTTGTCGCAGTCTATATTTAGATTTGATGAGCATGTCGAGGGAGGCAATGTAACACTGAGTGCTTGATCTGCAGCTCAGCAAAAAATGTGCACTTTTCTACATCCAGAAACATCGACTTGGCTTGATTAATCAATAGCCACATTTCTATTTTCTATATTTTTCTCCCCGAAAATTTAAAGTTGGAAATGACCGGCCACCCATGATGAAAAGTGCCACGGAATGGCACCATGAAGTCAAATCTCCGACTCTTGAAGCTGGGGGCAAATGAACCCACTTTAAAATTCTTCATAAGGTAAATGACACGACTAATGAAGTTATGTTCCACAACAATGTGATTGCTGACAATTTAGTCCTTTTCCACTGCGCTTGTGCTAGTGACAGTGCGAAGGTTAGCACCAGTTCTTACTTTTTCCACCATGGAAATAGCTCCGACTTGGCTCTTTGCCAGAGGAAAGCCAAACACGTTCTTTGTAAGAACTAGTTCAGCACCAACTAAGCGCAGCATTGGCCCTGGTGCCAAACTTTCTGGGTGAAAAAGGGGTAATGGAGAGCATCTTGAGATCACTGACATAATGTAAACTTTATTATTCTGTATTTTGATTATTGGTGAAACAGTGAACACTAGTTTCACATCGGTCATAAATTCAAAATTTGCCACATTTTGAGAAAAAATATGGAGGGGTGTCCTGAGACGAGATTGATATCGGATTTGGTCTAATATGATATCAGCCTTTGGTCTAATACGATATCAGATTTATGTAATGCAAATGTTTGGAATAAATGGGTCATATTTTGCATTATATCTAACGTTACTGACTAACGTTCTATGTTTGAAAAGGATCAGTTGATCAAGACTCTTCTAACATCTCATACTAAAAAAATCAATTCAAACATGTATCATTCCTGCTGATATTGTATTGGAATGATATTGGTGTTGCTCAGCGCTCGAGGCTGCAAAATCGTCTCGGAAGTGATAAAGTTGTATCAGGAGATCCCTAAAAATATGCGCACCACCCGTCATGTTGTTCGACCGGCGTGGAAGTAGACTGGCCGTTCTGCAAAAACATTTTCCCGAAATTCCCGATGGCCACCGGTTTGGAGGTTTCTATGAATCTTTGTCTTTTGTGAGGATGTATAAGGAGGAAGTAGAAACTAATTGTTTGGCTGCTACAGGGGGAGAATATCTTCACCGGTAGTTACTGATGATGAAGTTTGCCGTGAAATGCTTCCTGTTTATTGACATTCCCACAGATAGAAGTCCCGGTCGTAGATGGCCTGATGGATAACTCGATTTATTTAATGGCCATAATGCAGTAAGACTTTTCAGCCCGGAGTGAGAAATGTTAATGTGTGTAATTGTGCAAACGCTGCCAGAAGCAATACTGCACACATATCGGTCACATGTGATAAGTCAGAGAGAATGTGAAGACATTTTTTACTCTCATTCCAACAAATTACAATACAGGAAAACTCATGAAAAGAGACCATAAAAAAAAACCTCTTAGATGGCAAGGCAGAACAAAAGCTTCTTTCACACATTGTAAGTGCTGTGTTTTACCCAGCAAGCTTTGACTACAGCGGCCATCAATGATGTATGAGATGCTAAAAACACACACGTTCATTACGGAAGATGACCTCACTGTAACTTGACTAAAACAACCTAGTGTGTACAGCAAACACACGTTGACGCGCACACATACATGCGCTCTACGTCAGAGTTGAAAAACACAATCAAATGAATTTTACTGTTTCTTCTCATTCACTCTTCGTTTGCAAGTCACCACAATACTTCAGTTCATGCTCTCAAGCAAACTTCCATGAATAAGCTGTGAAAAAAAAAAGTGACTTCTTATGGTTGTCATGAGTTGACTTTCTCACAAATCTGGATTGCTCATACAGCACTACTGTTTTGGAAGTCTGATCTTTCTTGCTTCCCCACAGGGTGTTTCTACGTCAGCTACCTGACACTGTGATGTGAAACCAGCAATGCAATTTCTCCTCATTCTGTTCCTGGAGTAGAACGGATGTGATGATTCACCATTGACCAATCAATAGAGAGCCGTGGGCCCACATCTGCCCTTTTGCTCCTCTGCCATCGTGGGCAGAAGTCCAACAAATATGGTCCAAGTTTTATCTAGTACCCTTGACAATTTTGCTCGAAACCGATACCAAACTGTCAGGGCTATCAGGCAATCAGACCCTTGAGACACTCTTTGCACAAGGAGGGTGAACGGGTGTCATCCATTACAATCTCCGAACAGCTTTGGAAACAGTTTGCTCGTCTGCCCCTTTTTATTGTCTCAGGGATCGTCCTAACACACAAACTTTTAAAGGGCTGGGGAAAAACACAATGTACAGTATTTTGAGGTAAGTGGACGAGTCATGCTGACGATTGGCTTGTGAGAGCAGCTGTGGCCGTTATCTCCACTTCCAGGTTGCGATCAGGAACAAGCTGGTATCTTCAGCATGATAACCTACTTTGATTCGCACACCGTGTACTTTTCTTTTCACTACGTATGTCAATGAAGTCCTTGCAGTGCCGCACTAGTAGGTTGATTATACATCTAGAAGCAGATAGTGATAAATGAAATACAAATACTCTTACACAAACTGAACCAAAATGCTCCGTGGAAATGACTACAGTGAAATTCCCATGTGTAGTCTGCAGTATAAAATCTTGATCATCTCCCACATAATAATTGACCGATTTAAGAATTTTGTCAAACGTATGGAACCCATTTTCGATTCATCATGGCCTGAAGCAATTCATGCAAAATTTTGTGCAGTATTTTGTTGCAACCAGCAAAGGTTTCAACTAGAAGAACACAAAGGTGTGATTTAGGCGTGACCATTCTAGCTGTGATTCCCCCCCCAACCCCCACCACACACTGTCACTTAATGATTTTCAAATTACCATGCCTAATTAGTGCAACATCTAATCAGCCCTCTGATAACCTAATGATTCTGAACCAAAATTGGGTTTTGTGTTCTGTCCATTAAACCAGAATAGGGTTCATCACAAAGATATTGGGGTTGTGGTCAAGGACTCTCAAAAACTGCTGCCAACAAAGTTGGGAGCGTAGGACTATTTAAAATGTCTTGGAAAGATGGAGAATTACCAGTCAGGGAATACAGGGGTCTCAATGTAAGACTTTTAGATAGAATTCATAAGATAAGTACAAAAAAAAAATGAACATGTTGGTGAATGAGGTCATTTATATTAACGTGGACAATTACTTCCCAAAGTGAACAGGTGACACCTACTGTAATTCCAAGTTCTTGTGGTGTGTGGCGTCATTACCCTTTACTGTAATGAATGTCGCTCATGTCGGATTCTTTTTCATCTGCTGCATTGGTCCCAGTTTCGAATTTCACCGGGCGTTCTCCATTAGCTCGGCATTGGATTCTTTCCAGGAGATCTTGTCTATAGGAGGTCCCCGAGGGTGTGTCCTGCCGTGTCTCATGCTATCATAATCCAGTTATCTCACATCCAATGAAATGCTAGCTGGAAGTCATTTTGGCATGGGAGGGGCGTTTGCAGAAATGATTTTTTTTCCACTACGACTTCAATGACTCAAAATCCATCATGTGCTTGTCTCATATTCATTGAATTGATAGATTCTTACTGATTACTTTAAGCTGCAGTAGTAGCTGTGCAATCAAATCTTTTTCGCGATCGCTGAAATCAAAAGCTTGCTATTATCTATCTTCGTTTCTTCTATCAAACTTATTTGGTCTAAAATTTCCCTTCCTTTCCTATTCACTTCTGCTATCATTAGTCATCCTTAATGAGCTACTTGGCCAGTCTCTGCAAATGAGAGCACCGCCCAGACATGATTCATCCATTTTCCCAACTGGGTTTATTCAAATTCTTGGAATCAAGTCTTTTGTCTTAAATTGACCTATGTGGCCAAAGCCCAGCGTTGAATCTGAAGTGAACTAAGAATCTTGGTTGCTTCAGACCCATGGCCACCTTGCCAAACAGTCAATTTCCCCTTGTCATTTTTCTTTGACGTTACATGCCATTGAAGAGAGAGAATTTGACTTTCTTGACGCTTGTAAACAAAATAGTAATTTGTCACTATCGTATAACGATCGCATACTTACGGTCTTCTCTTCTTGTGATCTTTCCTAGTTTCCTCCTGGTCTTTTCCTGTCTCATTCTCTCAGTTTTTGCCACCATTAGAGAGTTCAAAAATAGCTCAGAGAGTGCCTTGTACATCCTGGTGGGTATCCCTTCCAGAATTTAATGCACAACTTAATTTGTGTGTACCCTTCAGCCCAAACTGTGAACGCCACCCTTTTGTTTCTGCTCCAACAGGAAATTGTGACCATCGTGGTGTTTGGAGTGGAGTACATTGTGCGGATATGGGCTGCTGGCTGCTGCTGTCGATACAGAGGATGGAGAGGGAGGCTCAAATTTGCCAGGAAGCCTTTCTGTGTGATAGGTGAGACACGTTCACGTCAAATGTCCACCTAGATTCTCTGTCGGTGTGTTTTTTGGGCGACGGTGTTCAATGTGGCATGCCGCTGTCGTCAGACATGATGGTCCTGGTCGCCTCGGTGTCGGTGCTGGCAGCTGGATCGCAAGGCAATGTTTTTGCCACATCGGCCATCAGGAGTCTGAGGTTCTTACAGATCCTTCGCATGCTGCGTATGGACCGTCGTGGCGGAACTTGGAAGCTACTTGGATCAGTCGTGTACGCCCACAGCAAGGTGGGCAGACACGCGGCATGTACCGTAGAATCGCGTGCTGTTGGTCGAATTTCAACCCATGAAAAAGTGAATGGAACGTTCCGTTCCACGAATCAAACTTTGTCATCATAAAAAAAATTGTTAATCACATGGGAAATGGTTACATAAATGTTGCAAAATCCTTTGTCCGCAGTCAGCTACGTTAAGCTCCGGCTGGCCGTGACCCTGAAAAGGATAAGCATGATAGAATACGGATAGACTCTCATTGTATTAGATTATCGGTATCCTTCGCTAGCAAATTGCTGCCTGAGTGACACACTTAAAGTGCAGTCGTGTATCCTGTTAATGCATCCTAAAAGTGAAGTATTAGCGAGCACTATAAGGCAGCAACCCACAGAAGGCAGTTTATGTGAATGTGAGGTGCTGAGAAGGAGCCACAGCTGATGGGTAAACATTCAAAGAGAAGACACGAAATCAAATGGAACTTTGAGTTATGAACATCCCTTTTTACAAACAATCTGAGTTAGACACAACATTTTTGTACAAAAATGACCTGTATTTTTTTTTTCTGGATCTACGTTGTATCCCTCTGTGACATAGCGCGGAAAGCCATAGGCAGACGTTCCACCTCGGCATACTTTGATCATCCAATCACCATTCTAATAGCAGTTGCGTACAATGAGTATGCTACCCCCCAAAAAAACAAGTTTCACTGGATCGGTGTGCCAGAATCAAATCAACCAATGAATTAGAAAAGAAACACTCCAATCTAAATTTCCCATGTCATTATGAAAAGAAGACTCTTTTCGAACAAAGGAGCTCTGTCTTGTTTTAAATGTTCAGTGTTTTATTTCTTTATAAAAGTGTATTTTAACTTATTTCTATATTGCATCATATTTCTTTTGAACCACACACTGGTAAAAAGTAAGGATGATTTAAGTTTGGGGCCAGAACGGATTAATTGCATTTCCATTCATTGCAATGGAAATCATTACCTTGATTTATGAACATTTCATGTTAGAAACATGGTCAAGGAACCGATTAAATTTGTAAATTGAGGTTCCACCGTACTTGCCTGAGATGAACACCATCATGTCCAGTTTTCTAACCATTTTAACGTCTCATAGTATTACTTGGTCTGCTGATGCTTCCTGCATCGCTTGTACGTACAGGAGCTCATCACAGCGTGGTACATCGGATTCCTATGTCTCATTTTGGCTTCATTCCTGGTCTACTCGGTGGAGAAGGAGTCCAACAAAGAGTTTGAGACCTATGCAGATGCCCTTTGGTGGGGACTGGTAGGACTCATCCATACTTCTTAATAATAATAATGGTCAAACCTACAGGTATTTGTTCATTCGCTTCATCATTTCCTCGAAGAAATGTCTTTTTTAAAATCTTTCCCCAGATAACTCTTACCACCATTGGCTATGGAGATAAAGTTCCAAAGACTTGGAATGGGCGCTTACTGGCGGCCACCTTCAGTATGATTGGTGTGGCCTTCTTTGCGCTTCCTGCTGTAAGTAACATACAGCATGTGCTTTGTTCGGTAGTGCATCATAAAGAAAGCTTTGGTTTGCTTGCTGCCGAAGATGTAAAATGTGTATCCATCCAACTTCCAAGACACCTGGGGTAGGCTCCAGCATGCCCGCAACCCTCGTGAGGATAAGCGGCTTGGACAATGAAGAAAAAGAAGAAGAAGATTTGGACCATAATATGTCAGAAAATAGGCAAATATTTTGATAATTGTTTTCCAAAGCAAAAGCATAGGTTTGAAAATGTCTTACTTTGATTAAGTACAAATATGATCAGTCTACCTTCATGCTTTTGTCAACCCACGAAAACACTCAATTTTCACAAGATCTTTATCTCCTTCACATTCACACACCTCCTCTGTGGCCGACTCCGGATGTATATGTTACTCATTATGACACGCTCAGCTTTTTACCTCTGATTCAAAGATGTCAGAGTCAGCAGTTATACGGGTTCATTGTACCCTTTGTGGGAAAGAAAAAAAACCTATCATGCAATGTCAGCACTCAGTTGACAGGGAGTTGTGTCTGTGAAACAAAATTTACACTTTCGCTACTTTTGCTAGAGCCTACGAGCTGCCTTTGGGCAAATGGTCACGAGGCAATCACAGAGCACATATATAGACAAATAATAATTCACACTCATATTCACACCCATGATGGACTACTAGTGGCTAGCATCTTCACCTTTCGGTGTACAATAAAGTTTTCTTCTCTTCTCGCGTTCGTCACTTTTTTTTTTTTTCCAAAATGTATTTTTGTGTCAAGCACAAGTCTAGCACAAACTGCAGTCTTAACTGTGTGCATTTTCATTTTTTTGGTATTTTCATGGATGGCTGTAGTTACAAATGGGCATTTCCACTGTTGTGGGCGTGAACACAGCCGAATTGAATCAATCGGCTTCCCTCATTCCATTCGGCCCACCTGTCGGAAGGAGAGCGGTGTTTATAAGGAACTGCAAGATCACCATGCGTGGATTATGTTAAATTGGCCACTGCGAAGTGAGCACTTTGAGACTGCCTTCAGATGAGAAGATGATAACACTAATTATAATGCATTCAGTTAATTGATTTCTATAATGATTGTGAGATTCTGATGCATGCTGATGTCATATTTATGAATGAAATACGATGACATATACTACAAAAACAGTATCAGCAAAACACAGCATCTGTCTGCCTCAGCATCGCCAAAACTTAGACCTGGTTTTACATGGTCTAAAGCCTGGTCTACTTTCTTTTCCCCAATTGTCAATTGCGCCGATAACGTGTAATAGAAATTGCCTTTTGTCTGCAGGAACAGCCAGTGAGACCCAGTGCAGTGTGTCATATTCCTAAATGCAGTAAAGTAGACTTGCCCCGGCATAAAAATTAAACTATTAGACGTTTCGTTTAAAACACAGAAGTAGTTTCGACATTATGTACTAACATTAAACTACATACAACATAGTCTGTTGCTTTTCACTGCATCTGGAAAATAAAAGATTGATTTTTAAAATCCACTGTGATCCTTTGTAGGGCATCCTCGGTTCTGGTTTTGCCCTCAAAGTCCAAGAGCAGCACAGGCAGAAACATTTTGAAAAGAGACGCAATCCTGCAGCAAGCCTCATCCAGGTACCTGTTTGAATGTCGCAATGTTTCACTTGGCTCGCTTGTCTTTGTCAGAAACCATCACCGCCATAATTTTGTGCCACATCTCCCTCAAGGCTGCATGGAGGTTTTATGCAACCAACCTTTCCCGCACGGATCTGATATCCACTTGGGATTTTTATGAGCAGACTGTAGCAACCCCGATGTACAGGTAGGCTATCGTTCAATCCGATGTTCCCTCACAAAAGTATGAATAAAACGGTGTCAGAAAAATTCCAGGGCTGATGTCACAAACACAAGCCCAAATTACAAATTACAAACTACGAGTTTTCCCCTTCAGTGTGAGCCAGACTGCCAAGCAGCACGTCTACAAAGAGATTCTGAGACATTTGCTTTGTTTAGTGCAAGAAAAAAGGGGAGAATTGTGGCATGACAACTTGTGGCTGCTTCACCATGACAACGCATCTGCTTACCATACCCTAACCTTAGTTTGAAACCCTACTTTGAAACCCTAACCCTAGTTTGAAATCTTTATTGTAAACCCTAACTCTAATTTGAAATTCTACTTTGAAAGCCTAACCATAGTTTGAAACCCTAATTGGAAAACCTAACCCTAGTTTGAAATCTTAACCCTACTTTGAAACTCTGTTGAAACCCTAAACCTAACCTAAAACCCCAATTGAAAGCCCTAATCTTAGTTTGAAACAGTGATCAGAAACACTAACCTAATATGAAACCCTACTTTGAATTCCTAACCCTAGTTTGAAACCCTTGTTTGAAATCCTAATACCAGGTTGAACCCTTATTTTGAAACCCTAACCATAGGTAGAAACACTAATTGGAAACCCCAACTATAGTTTCAAACCCCACTTTGAAACCCTAATCCTAATTGTAAACCCTACTTTGAAACCCTAACTGTAGTTTGAAACCCTAACCCTAGATTGAAACCCTACTTTGAAACCCTAACCCTAGTTTGAATCCCTAATCAGAAGCCCTAACCATAGTTTAAAAGCCTACTTTGAAACCCTAACCTTAGTTTGAAACCCTAATTAGAAACCCTTTCCTAGTCTGAAACCTGAAGCCTAGTTTGAAATTCTTCTTTGAAACCCTGCCCCTAGTTTGAAATCCTAAATGGAAAACCTAACTCTAGTTTGAAAACCTACTTTGAAACCCTTACTGTAGTTTGAAACTATAAATGGAAGCCCTAACCATTATTCGAAGGCCTCCTTTGATACCCTAACCCTAATTTGGAACTCATACATGGCAATTTTCCGCGGATCCGCGGAAATCCGCCGTTTTATTTCTTAAATTGATCATTTTTGTGAATCGTCTAAATCCGTTGAGAAAATTTTAGGGGCGGTCAGGTACCTTATCGTCGAGTTTTCACGAGCTCTCCCGAACAGTCTCTCCGTTTTCCGTTTGTAAACAGCCCTGCGATTGGACGTGTATGAAAGCTTCAACTAATCAGATCACTGAAGGCATTATTTGTTGCGGAAGTCTTAGCTCGATTATAAACGGCCCAGCGATTGGTTAACGACAAGCGATTGGACCAATCAAATTGCATGTAACATATTGCTTTACCTGATTCATGGCGGCCTGTTCGTCTCGCAAATTCATTGTTCTGGGATCGTTTTGAGCGGAATTATGAAAATTTTGACGAAAGATCAGGAGTCTTCAATCCTAAAAACTGACTCAAATGTCAAGAATAAATTCCGATTGGACTGGCTTGACAGAAAAGTCACTGTAAAGGTTAAAATTGGTTCCAAGTTCGACGAAGTTACAGAAGCTCTTGGACAATAAGCTTTGACGTAGCAGGCAAAGCTTATTGTGTGTATTGTAGTGACTTAATTAACTATGGCTCCCGTGGATGCGTGGCACTGACAGATCATGCAACAAAAGTGAAAAAACATGCCGACAAAATCGCCATTCGACGGAGCAATTATCCTTTGGGATCGGCATTTCAATTTTATTTGGTATGCATTTGTAGCAACAGCATGATAACATTTATTTGTTTTTATTTGCGTTTTATATTCATATTGATAATTCACGTTTTGTCTTGGATAATAAAGCACGGTTATGCATAATAAATTGTATGCATAATATTCACTATCACTGTATGAGGTAAGAATCAACAGCTTTTTATCACATTTACACAACACTTTATGAATACAAGTCATGAACAAATCTTAAATATGGCAGGGGATGTGTTTACTTTTTTTGTTTTGATTTTGAGCAGCAAATTTTGAGTTACATATTTTTGCTCACCAGGAATGCATAGGCAAAATTGCACAAATTTTCACTTGAAAGAATAGTGGCGATCTTGGGATTTTTTTCTGTTCAATTTTCAAACTGTGTAAATTTAATACACTTCATCTTCAGCATGTTTAGTGCCACTTTTGTAAGTAACCACGCCCCCGTCCAGGCCACGCCCCCGTCCAGGCCACGCCCCTTCCGCTTTTTTCATCACTCGCCATTGCCATGTATGGGAACTCTACTTTGAAAACCTAACCAAATTTTGAAATCCTTATTTGAAACCCTAACCCTAGATTTATATTCTACTTTGAAGCCCTAACCAAACCTAGTCTGAAACCCCAGTTGAAAACTCGAACCCTAGTTTGAAACCCTACTAAGAAACCCTAACCCTAATTTGAAAGTCTACTACGAAACCCTAAACCTAGTTTTCAATTTTAATTGGAAACCCTCATCCTAGTTTGGAACCCTAATTGAAACCATTCATCCCAGTTTGAACGTTCAGTTCACAAGCTGCTTTAGTGACTGTCACAGCCAACATTTTATCCTGGAGCTGGATATTGCAGCTTGTCTGCTCTGCTTAGAAATCCTCTATTTCATTCCAAGTCGTAAATGAAGGTGGAAAGGTGATGAGCCGCGCAAAAGTCAACTGTCAGAGTGAATGCAATTAACACCCGCAGGCGAAAATCAACCTTTGGTCAGCAGGGGAGTGAGTATATTTTTACAGAATAGCTGAACGTTGCAAGTGTCTTTCTCCCTTTTCAGATTGATTCCGCCGTTGAATCAATTGGATCTGCTGAGGAATCTAAAAGGAAGGTCTTTCAGGTACCGTCACCACACTAAGGAAGACCAACTACTAAAGTGGAATCTCTAAAATCAAACATAATCCATTACAGGAAGCTGGTCTACCACTCCATCATATTCCAATTCAAAAAAGGACATCATACACCCATTGTTGATTGTACGAATAACATAGTCAACATTTTAACCCTTTCGGGGACAGCGGTTAGTACAGTGGACAGTTTATCATGTTATCAGGTTGCAGGTTATCACTATTGGTCCATGAAAGGGTGACCCAAACAAGAAGTTACCTTGAAGTTTTAATGTGGTGGTTTGTCGGTTGTTTTGATTTTATTATCCATTCACAGTTTTGTAGTCATGATTTTGAATGTGGCACCCCTGCTTCAACGTGTGTCAGTGGTTACATCACGATAAACGAGAGGTGACATTTTAAACTGGGAATGCATCTCAACATGCAGAAGTCGCCCAGTGGCTTGTCTACTATCATTCATTTTTTAATTTATTACTTTAACCGGATTTTCAAAGACAACCATGATTTTTAAAGGCTGCTTGGAATACGTCGTTTGATTAAATTATCTGCCCCTCTGAGCCAATTGTTACAATCTCCATTCTGACCAATGTGCCCATTCTGTTCACAGGAAGGAGTCCCAAACAGAAACCTCTCCCAGGTCTGTAATATGATTGATTTAGTTGTCTCTTCTTCCTGTTGGCTTCTCTTCAACTCTGCTTTTAGCTGCTGCTGAGCCACTCTTCTTGGGGGGAGCATACGTGTGTGTGTGTGTGTGTGTGTGTGTGTGTGTGTGTGTGTGTGTGTGTGTGTGTGTGTGTGTGTGTGTGTGTGTGTGTGTGTGTGCGCGTGCGTGTCTATTTGGCAGCCATGGGTGTGGCTGTGCGTCCCGAATTCCTCCTTCAAGAATGGCCATGCTGCATTTGCATACAGTGTGTAATGCTCAGGGATGAGTGCTCACAGCTTCCTTAAACATCCCATCAATAAGCTGATTTTTGACAGCAAAGCATTCGACATCACCACAGGAAAAAGTGTTTTGACTTTTTTTTTTTTTTTAAACACTTTTCAATGCTTTTGCTTGTCGCCCGCTTCCCTCAAACTGGAGAAATATTGACATCGCATCAACACTTTATTGTGACTGCGGGAATTAGAGTGAAATCAAAACACCAAAATGTTGAAATTTATCATTTAGGGCGTCGATGCTCACAGAGAAACGCGATTTGCAATAAAGTGTCTTTACAAACACGATGTAGCACATACCGCTGTTTTTGGCACTGTACCCACTCTTTGTTTTTGTCTCCTCTAACTGCTCCAGTAATGAGAATGCACACAAAGACAGACTTTGTGGTTGCTGTCCAAGAACTTTTAGGTATCGTTATTGCACAGATACCACCCACTGCACTGCAAGTTTGTGTCTCACCGCCCCGTACCTCACTTCCAATCCAATTTCTTTTTTCTTTCTTCTTTTTTTGTTGTTGCAGATGTGATAAATTTGGGTCATGTGAAAATTGCAATTTTTTTGCATCTTAAGTGCACCACTCGATCCAGCAAATAGTGTTGTGCTCGAAAGAAAAAGACAGGATGTAATTCAATTGTAAATAAAATATATTAATTATTGTATGAATACGGAAAAATACATTTTCAATTTCTCGTCATTGTTTCCTAATCTAATCCTGTAACCCGATAGCACGTTAAGGTGTCCACTGTAGTAACCGCTGTCCCTGAAAGGATTCCACTTGAAGAAATAATATTTGCACCTATATATAAAATCACAACCCCTTTTCTTGGGTACGGTAACATAACACATTGCCTGCCCAGCATATGTGCCATCTGTAAAGCTGACAACGCAGGGGAGTTTACAGACCATGGGGGCCATGGAGCAAAAGCTGCAATACTACAATACAGACCCAAAAAGAATTTGGGATTACAAAGGGATTTGCGGCATATCTGTGTTCAAGTAAAGAGAGCACCTTTTAGAAAGAAACACCGTTTTATTTATTTATTTTTATTAACCTATTAAAGCTAATGTATTTTTACATTTATTTGAATCGGGTTATAATGAAAGTTTTTTTATTTGCTTGCTGCCTTTTTGCCACTACTGTCGATCTTCTGTCTTCTGTTCACAAAGAACATCGAGTATGATCCTTTCTTTCTTTATCGCATGATTTGTGTCGTCCTTTTGCACACACAGTCGAAAGAGACACCACCGCTCATCCTTTTGAGATGTCACTTTGCTTCCCATGCATGCTTGCTTGTAGCTTTCTGCTGCTTGCCTGACCTGCTGAATGTGCCCTACTATGTTCCGATACGGACATGGCTTCCACTGCTGTAGGTTCTCTTGAGGTAAGCGTCACACGAGCGTGGTACCTTTTTACACTTGAACAAATAAGAAGATAACGAGACAAATATTGTTGACTTAACAGATTATGACTTTATATACCGGTAAATACGACGTGCTATTATTTCCACAAAGGCTCACCATTTCTTGACTTGGTCCTTCTAGTCGGAAGGCGAGCCTAAAGGACAAGATGTTCCCCAGTCCTTCCAAAGCTCCATTGGCCAAAGGGAAAGACCAGTCTCCTGGGCCAGAAGATGGCGCGGAGGCGAGCCCCGGCAAGGTCGCTAAGAGCTGGAGCTTTACGGAGAAGAACCGAGGGCCCAGGCATTCTCTCAGAGTCCGAGGCAGCGCCTCACGCCAAAACTCAGAGGGTAAAGCATCTCACATATACTGTGTGTGTTCATTCAGAACCTCCTGAATGTTTAAATGTCTGGGCTTTAATTGTGTCAAACCTTTTTTAAGGCCATACAGTTTTGTGCCTTTAGAAATTTCCCAGACTTCTAGAATTTTGGGGGAAAAAAAAAGATACTTCTGCTGGGTCGCTTCAGAATACACTATAACAGGGGTGTCAAAAATGTGGCCCACGGGCCGGAACCGGACCCCAAAGAGGTTCGATCAGGCCCACAGGATAATTTAAAAGTGAAAAAAAATGCATAAAAGACACGGAATTAATATTTTTAATATGGTGTAATTCATGGATTATCCCATAGGGGGACACAGAGTAGAAAACAACATTGACTGCTGTTGTCTTCCTCGCTGATCAAAACAGTCTCCGTCTGTCAGACGGTATCAAGGACATGTGAATACTTTATTCTTCACACATTTAATAGCACTCTATTTAGTTTGCAAAGTGTAGGCAGGGATTAAATTTAGATTTTATGTGAGCTTCAACAAAGTACCGTATTAGTACATTGTGAAATTTTGCCGGCTGGTTACACGATGCGAGTGTATGCTTCCGGGTTTAATCCAACGCATTCCTATTTCAATTCATGGCATAGTTTTTATCGACATTCATTTGTTGAAATATAAAAATACAAACCGTTCATTGTCACCCCATACGTGCGGCTCGTTTGCCAAGGAATTCCAAGAAAAAGTATATCAAATTTGTCTGTTCTTGGCGTTCTCACTCGACTCCATAATGAATTGTTTTCCGTGTCTTTTCTTTCTCTCTCCTTGCAGCAATTGAAGGTTTAATAAGTAAGACATTGGGATATTTTGGGTTGGCTTATATGAGGGGGTGATAGTCATCAAGACAAGCTTCATTTATTTGAAAAACATGCATGCTGAAATCTGCAGAGATTTTTTTCACTTGACATGAACCCATTTTATTTATTTATTTATTTTTAACCCCTGAAATTGGGGATCTGGAGCCACCAACAAATTTGAAGTGAACACACTGCCATTGATCATGGGTGTAGTAAATTCATCATGGGTTCAAATCAAGTGGTGTCAAATTACGTAAAAGGTCAAATGTGTCCAAATTGCCCGAGTCACCATTTTGCATGAAGAGTCCTCACTTTTTTTATCGAGCATCCGTCAACAGCAGTCAAGTGTAGAGAACCTTTGCCTGACTGCTGTCAAATTCATCAAATTCATCACCTGGCTCAACTGAATTTGAGAATTACTCGGCTTAATTTTCGACTACTTGTCAAAGGTTTCAACAAAGCTTCACACTATTCGTACTATCCTTTGATTCTTCACTGATTTTAATTCAGTTTCACAAAGCCAACAAACGTCGCTCACAAACATGCGGTTGATCACTTCCCATTCAATTCTCTGTCAAAGACAAAAGCAGCAGCTTTGCTTTGCCCCTTCTCTTATTCTCTCGTATCGGGTAGGCCAAAGTCATCTTTTCTGAAAAGTGTCTTTCTCTCTGTTCTGTAGAGTCAAGCTTTCCAGGAGAGGACGTTGGCGACGACAAGAGTTGTCACTGTGAGTTTCTCGCTCAAGAATTGCCGCCAGGGTTAAGGGTTGCGATACGAGCAATATGGTAAGCGCTCGCATTCAATTCTCCTCTGCTATGTTTAGCAGCACCTGCGAAAATGATGTGGTTCATGTTGGTCCGATAACTATGATTAATTCATACCTTCATTTAGCGTCACCGTTGTTGAATTTTCCATGCTCCTCTTTTCATGTCTGTTATACTTCCAACATGTATAAACGTAGCATTTGTAGGCAAAACGCAAGCCTGCAACTGAGCGTAGATTTTCTATGGCTTGTTTCAGGGTGTGTCACTTGCATGATTTGTTTGGAAAAGTTTTTGCGTTGGACGCCCCTTCCTGATGCACGCCACCAATTAAAAAAAAAAAATAGATCTGGTTTGGGATTAGCAGTGGCTGGGCACAAAAGGCAACCACAACACTACCAGGGCTGAATCCGATCGTGGACATTTCATGCTATTTAATAATTGTTTGAATAATATCTGTTTAAAGTCATCTTTTAATGTAAAGACAAAAACAAATATTTCCCTCTCCAGCAAAATGAAAGGATTTGCCTCACTATTCCAATCCAGTTGGAAAGGAACGCAATGTTTAACCGTTTCAGGGACAGCGGTTACTACAGTGGACAGCTTATCATGTTATCAGGTTACAGGTTGTCATCTTTGGTGCATGAAAAGTTTAATGGTGAAATATGTGACTTCCCTCAGCATCATGACCTTCCTGGTGTCAAAGAGAAGATTCAAAGAGAGCCTACGACCGTACGATGTCATGGATGTGATCGAGCAGTACTCTGCAGGTCACTTGGACATGTTGACCCGAATCAAGAACCTACAATCCAGGCAAGCACACGTTCACTGTCCAGGGCAAACCTCATCAGCATCACCTTACAGAAACGGAATATATACGTGAAGAATGTACACAAGCATCACTATGTATAGTGTGTACCGTATTTTCCGCACTATAAGGCACACCTAAAAGCATTCAATTTTCTCAATAGCCGACGGTGCACCTTATAAGACGATGCGCCTTACATATGGCTCTATATTCAGATTTTTTGGACGTAGTATTTAAATGTTCTGTAAAGTGTTTTGTTGCAGCTGTGAAAGCTCGGTATAAATAAAGCTGTATTGTATTGTATTACCTTTAGTGTAGCTCCATCTAGTGGATGCATAATGCAACTGCGGCCTCTATTGTAGCTTGTGTTCTATGTGCCTTATAATGCGGTGTGCCCGATATATGAAAATAGGTCATTCATTAAAGCTGCGCCTTATACTCCGAAGCGCCTTGTAATGCGGAAAATACGGTAAATGTAGCTTCTTCTTGTCGTTGTAGTGAACATACGGATTATCGTGTTATTTGAAATAAACCATGTTTTCTCTATACACACATGCGCGTAAGCCATTTGCCTGTTTCATTTCTCAGACATGTGTTGTTTCCAGTTGTTTACATTAGTGACATTGTAAAAAGTACAATTCACTAATTTGAATCTCAGATTGCGACATGTCATTGTTTGCGGTACTAGCCCGTCCTACACAAGATGTCATTGTTTATGTCCATGAAAGATCTTCTATGAACCGTACATTCAGTATATTCCAACAGGAAAACACTTTTCGTCACTGTCGGGCCGAAACCTCTGATGTCCATATTTGGTCAATTTCATATTTTTTCACAAACTAATTTGGCAATCCACGTGATAGGTTTTTTTTTTTTTTAAATTCTAGCAAATTTACAAATATAAAGTCTTGGCCTTTTGATGGTGCATTTTTGTTACCTGAAGAGTGATGGTTTTGGAAATGTGAGGATTGTGCCCAACCACAGCGTTGCAATTTCATGCCGATTTCCTTACCTGACTGACTGTATGTCTTTTGTCTATGGCATAGGTGTCAAACTCCGGTCCTCGAGAGCCTTTTTCCTGCATGTTTTCTATCTCGCCCTGTTGCAGCGCAGCTGATTTAAATGATCAGCTCATCAGCAAGCTCTGCAGAGGCCTGATATGATTCTTGTTCATTTGAATTAGATGTGTTGCAACAGGGAGAGATGGAAAACATGCAGGACGGCAGCCCTCCAGGAGCGGAGTTTGACACCTGTGGTCTACGGAATATATTGAAAGCGAAGATTTGCCACATGGTTTCATTTCTGGATTGAGCTCATATCGTCTCTGTGTGCCTTGCCAGGATAGATATGGTTGTTGGGGCCCCTCCCCCATCAACACCTCGCCATAAGAAGTCCACTGAAAGTCCTAGGTTAGGTCAATAGACTCGTACATCCAGAGTGATCATTTTGCAAGCTTTGTCCTCAGTGTTGAACAGCTACATAAGATGCTCACTAAAATCAATACATTGTGACAGAGAGACCCCCTTTTGAGTTCAAGCCACTTGTACGTTTCAATCAAAGAGAGCATGCATGCAGACAGACACATAGTAACACTTGAGAGGACTATGTACGAAAATCAAAGCAGTGTTGAGTCACGTGACTGTGGCCTCACTCAGATGGGGGTCCTTTGCTTGGTGTCAAACTGGAGAGACAGATAGCAAAAGCCCCCCCCACCACCACCATCAGGATGAAATGTTCATGACGCATGAAACCACAAATAAGTATGCAAGAGCATGTTCTCACATTGATTTAATACAATTTTGTACAAATAGGGCGGCACGGCAGTCGAATGGTTAGCATGTTCGCCTCACAGTGCAGTGGTGTAGGGGTCGATTCTGGCACCGGCCTTCCTCTGTGGAGTTTTTCATGTTCTCCCCGTGCCTGCGTGGGTTTTCTCTGGGTACTCCGATTTCCTACCACGTTCCAAAAACATGCATGGAAGGTTAATGGAACACTGTAACTTGTCCCTAAGTGTGACTGTGAGTGCGAATGGTTGTTTGTCTGTGAGTGCCCTACGATTGGCTGGCAAGTTCGGGGTGTATCCTGCCAACTGTCTGAAGACAGCTGAGAGAGGCTCCAGCGCCCCCCGCGACCTTGGGAGGATAAAGCGGAGTAGAAAATGGATGGATGGATCATGATGCAGAAAAATTGTTTTGGTTGTGGGAAAAGTTTATTTTTAATCCTTAAAAAAAAATCTCCAACCCAGCTTCTAAATTTAGTAGAAATTTAAAGTATTTAATAGTTAAAATTAATTGAGGTCTGGGCCTTGGGAAATCGGAAAGGTAAATCATTGGAACTGCCTCTTTAAAACTATGTTTTGTCATGTTAAAAATCGTTGCTCGTGCCATATTAGTTCAATTGAATGTTTTGCTGAATTTTTTATTTTTTTTAGCTTGCTCATTTCAACACTCCTGTATAAACAGAATATTCATTTTGTGGATGATAATGTAGTCCTCCTATTTACTGCAAAACTCTTGTGAGAACATGTTGCATGCATTGTGTTGCATTTTGGGCCAGGACCTTATTCTCTCACTAAGCACCACATCATCGTGATTAGGAAACATTGGACTGTATATGTTAAGCATGTATGCACACCTCAGATTAACACATTACTCATTTGAATATGCTCACTTCATTTTCACATACAGCGGAACCTCAAAGGTCAAGCAATATGTTCTGCATCGCTGGTCAACTTCAATTTATTTATGTTTACAAACTTAAAAAGAAAAAATGTGCCAAGTTAAAACTGGCACTTGGAAGGGTTGTACAAACAACCTCAAATATGAATTGTCTACTCACCAGATGGAAAAGCTTACTGTACCATTACCGCTTGTAAGGTGAGTCGGTTCTCGTTAATAGTCAAAGCAACAAATTTTGCAGTGTACATTTGTACTCTTCTTCTTTTATGATTGTCAACTTATTGTTGCTTTAGCGACTTCCCACTTCCCGCCATCGCAGTAAGTTCGGTTGTTAGAATTTCAAATTTAGAAGAACTAACGAATTGCGCTCCTGAAGGGGAAGCTGAAATCAGAGGTTCCACTGTAGTTTGTAGTCGTTTCTATTGGTTTATTCACCGTTAGCATGACAAAGTCAACTGTTTTCATATATTTACCATGTAAAAGTAAGTCACACTTTTTCTTTTGCAAAGGTAGTCTCTGTGGAGTTTTCTGCTGGCAAACATGGGCAAAGGTCCGCTCAACACGATAATTTTTTTTTCTTTTTTAACAGACATTTATATAGCTATTGTTGCCGTACAATAAAAAGCATGCATTTCCAAGTTTGGGGAAACTGCACCAAATTTGAAGATATGTTCAACAGCAATGCTATATGTTCCTACGGCATTCTTAAAGACCAGAAAATCCACAAATGACCTTTTACCTTCGTGTATGCTACATGAATATACAATTTTTGTAACCTCAGATCTGACATTTTCTCACGATAGAGTTGACCAAATAGTGGGAAAAGGTTCAAAAGGTGAGGCAGATGCTGCGGAGGACACAAGCATGATGGGACGTCTGGTCAAAGTTGAGAAACAGGTGAGGACGACAGCTCTGGTTGGATGGATGGATCGATGCGTTTCATGTTTTGGGTGGTTTTCATGTTTTCTTGGTTTGCGGGCTTCCCTTCTGCCTGCAGGTGGTCTGCATGGACAGAAAGCTGGATTTTCTGGTCCATGTATATATTCAGCGCATGGGCATCCCTCGCTCTGAGACAGAGGCCTTTTTTAACTCCAAAGAACTATATCCGGTGCCACCTTACCACAGCCCAGTGGAGAGCAAGCAGAAGGAGGAGATGGTCAAGGAGGAACGGGAGATGGACTTCTTGTGCACTGAAGGGTCTTTAGAGCCTAAAGAGCCTTTGTCGGATGCGCATGTGTCGGGATCAGTGGCTTCCCCGTCTGGTAGTCACAGTCGCCCTTCTACCTCGTGGCAGCATCAGCTGCAGCACCCTGTCAGCCAGCCGGCCTGGAACAGCAGCGTGGCCAATACCCCTTCGCCCGTCGGCGGCAGCGATTCTCCTAGACTGTTCCGCCTTCCCCCTCCGCCCGCTCCACCCCACGACCCTTCAAGCCAAGAGAGCGGCTCCCTCAGCAGGAGACGTCACCGGAGGCAGAGGCGTCGTCCGCAGGACGCCACCAATGCTGGGAGCGACACGTCCCTCTCCATTCCGTCCGTGGACCATGAGGAGCTGGAGCGCTCCTTCAGTGGCTTCAGCATCTCTCAGGCCAAGGAGGATTTTTTCGGGGCGTCTTTTTTTCCAGGCTCCGGTGGCGGCGGAGGAGGGTCTACAGCGGGGACAGAAGCCGGAGCCCCAGCGCCACTCTGTGCCAAGTTGAGGCCATTCCTCGCGGAAGGCGAATCCGACACAGACTCGGACCTCTACGCTCCCTCGCCCTTGTCCTTCTCTGGCGAGGCCTCCTGTGGAGAGAAAGGATGGCCCGGACTCAAGTAGCTTTGCCCACCCCCCGGCCTGCTTGGCAAAGACGCCAAAATGGTCATGTGACCTAGAAGCCAATGTTGCTCATCATTTTGATTCAATGATTTTTGATTCAATGATTTAATACTGAACATGGACACAATTTGACCTCAGAGCACTGTCTGGGATGTACTATAACACGATAAGCAATGCTTTAATACAGAGGGATCATACTCATTTTTGTCATGGGCCACGTCAGAGTTATGGTTTCGCTTGGAGAGCCATGATGACTGTGAACCCATACAAATGTAGATCACATATCACATAGACACACAGGGCTGGACTGCCACCAAAGAACCGGCCCTTGTGTCTTGGCTTAGAGCGGCCCACGTACGCACACGTACGCGCGCCCTGTAACGCGTGGTGCTGCGAGCTGAGGTGGCAGGCACTAGCCATGGACATGTGCTGTTGGATAGCTAAAGACTTCTAGATTTTCACAGGTACTTGTTTCATTGGTAGCAAAAAGCAAGCTTTACCATGCTTTACTTGAGAGGGAGCCAAGTAACCAATTGACATAATAAAGAGGCGCCACCATGTGGCGTGATACCATACTACCATAAATGACTGTTGCAGCACGTGTATGTAAACATACACACTTGTGCACGTTCGTGATTGACAAGTGAAGCTTCATAAAGCACTTGGGATAGTTTTTGACTCCTCTAGATGGCACTCTTGGTTTAAAGATGCAGTGGAATTTTAATACATTTCCATTGCACTAACCATTATATTCAAACAAAGAGCACCATCTTGAGGAGTCAAAAACTATCAACTATCAAGTGCTTCATGAAGCTTCCTTTTCACATCACGAGACTGCACTTACAACCATGACTGTGGATTGTATGATAAACGATAACTTCTCAGCCATGTTCTTTGCTTATTATGGCGTGAAAATAATGGAACTATTCTGAAGACAGATTCTTATAAAATTTGTATTCAGACATCACTTCTGACAACACCTGCCTACCACATAGTACCCCCACTGATGTTGATTGGCTCACTTTGCACCCTACATTGTAAATTTTTTTTCTGTTCAATCAAACACCTACGCTCAAACCCCACGTATACACATTGTAGCAAGGAGGAACACAATACTTTCCAGGACAAATAATTAAAAGATAAGATAGAGGAGGATTACATTCATACATATTTTCACTTTTTGTTGACTTTCTGAACTTTTTAGGCCATGATCCTATCCCAGAATATAAAATGGTGCGGTCTGTCAGATTGAGGAACCAGAAAGTAGTTTTATATGGCTGGACAAATGAAAACAAACCACTTTTGATGATAGAGAAAAAATAAAAACAAATGTATCTATCCATCCATCCATTTTGTATTTCATTGATCATTAGTAGGCTCAGGGGCATGCTGGATCCTCAGCTGACTTTGATCGAGGGGCAGGTTACACCATTAGACTGGTTGCCAGCCCATAGCAGGGTACTTACTGTCGACACAAACTACCATTCACACTCACATTCGTAACTATGGACAATTTAGTCTTCTGTTTAAGATATGTTTTGGGGGGCAATGTGAGGGGAAGTTGTTATGGAGAAAGCCCACGCAAGTAGGAACGGAACTAGATTCGAACCCTCTCCCTCAGAACTGTGAAGTGAATGTGCTAAACTCAACGCTTACTTCATTTGTATTTCAATTCTAAGAAGTACGGTATCATCATGCAGTACTTATAATGTTGTCCACCAATTAAAATAAAATGGAAATATGACAGCATGGTCAGTAGAATCGTGGTTAGCACGTATGTCACAATTTTGAAGTTCTGATCCAGCCTTCCTGTGTGATGACTGCATGTTCTCCACATCCTTTTTTTCTGGGTAATCTGGCTTTCTCACACATTTAAAAACAATAAATAAAAGGTCATTTTGTTCAATGCTCTGTTCAATCTTACTTTTCAAAAAGCAAACATGAATGATGATAAATGTCTTGTGTACATGTCACTGTGTAGAATAGTGATTGGATAACTGTAGCAAATTTAGAGACATGAGCTAAAATACACAAATTACAGATTATAAATCTGTTTTTGTTTTTTAAGTGTCATTTTTCCCCAAATATTACACAAGAGCCCCCCACTTATTTGCCCATTTGTGAAGCGCCGGCATGGCATGTAAATGGTTGATTTCAGGAGATTCACAGATATTAAATTGCATGCATGTCAAGTACTGTACTCCTTTAATTTTCTTTACATGTTCTTTCTTCTTGCTGGATTGCGTGTAAAAAAAAAAAAAATCAAAAAACAGGGAAAAATCTATTTTACACTTTGTTTTGTAGACCTCATTTTGCCTTCCATGCTCATTTGCTGCTACGTTTGCTGAGAATATCCAATCAAATGCAGCCAACAAGGCAATGGAGAGCTTTTATCCTTAATAAACAAATAAATAAATAAATCAGGATTGATTTATAGGTTCCAAAAATAACTGACATCTGAAAGTAAATTTCCAATGTGGGCAATTGATACAACTGAAAAATGCCTCCACGGTAGCACTAAAATCATGGGATGTAAGAGGACAACGCATGTACAAATTAACAGCAAAGCAGTTCAACAGCACACTTAACACAGGAGCATGGACATATCATCACACATACAATCAACAACATTTCACGGAGATATATCTCACACGAAACAGCATATTTTGAAAAAAAAAAAGGGAAGACATTAAGAAAAGAGGAAACCATCTCACTGGCATGTTTGCTACCAGCCAACACCTTCATGTAATTGCACTTTCCTCTTCAACAATAAAACTTTTGTACAGCTCCAAAAGCGGTTGCTTCTTCTTTATATTGATAGCCTACATCGTGCTAAAGAGGAGCCGTTTATTGCTAGGTGGTGATCGAAAGCTTCATTTCAGAAGATCATACAAATGTTTGCAGACTACTTTAGTGTTTGAATACAGGAATTCGCTGAAGCTAATTTTTGGTCTTATCTGCAGGCCTGATCAAAAGCACCGACTGACTTTTTAATCTTAAAATTGCATTAATTTTTTTTTCCACAGTCTATTCTCGTTCCGTAGCTTTCCTCTTTGCTGCTCTGCTTCCGGTACGTGTCTCCGGTTGTTGGATTTGGCGTCCAGGCAGATTTCAGCCTAGACATGAGGCTGAAACATTCTAAATCTGTCCAACACTCTGATTCACAATTACATCTGTATTTTCCTATTTTCCTTAGTTGAATGTGATTTGATCATATTGTTCTCAACTCAACTGTATTTATAGAGCACAGACATGGAGCAAATATCATATATACAACAATAAAACATGAAATTAATAACGAAGACAGTAGAAAGCACAAAACAGTAAAACTAAGATCAAGTCTGAGTCATGCCGAGTCAAATGCCAAAGAATACAAATGAGTTTTGAGACGAGTTTTAAAGATGGGCAGCGAGGGGGCTTGCCGAATATTCAGTGGGAGGTCATTCCAAAGAAAGCGACCAGAAACGGAAAAGGCTCGATCCCCTCTGAGCCTCCGCTTAGATCTTGATACATCTAATAATATCTGATCCGCAGACCTGAGGCATCGGGCTGGTGTGTAGGAGCGGATGAGCTCAGAGAGGTAAGGTGGAGCGAGGCCATTTATAAAGATTTGAAAACAAATAGGATTTTAAAAAGAACTCTAAAATGTTTCGGGAGCCGGTGAAGCGATGCCAGATTAGAAGTTATGTGCTCCCTCTTACGAGTACCAGTTGAGAGGCGAGCAGCAGCGTTCTGGACCAACTGGAGACGCTTCATGGAGGATTGGCTGACTCCAAAGCCAAGTGCGTTACAGTAATCCAGCCGGGATGTGACAAAAAGGAGAGGTTTTACTTTGGCCAGCTGCCTAAAATGAAAGAAGTTGCATTTAACATTAGGACCAATTTGCCGGTCCAATTTAAAATCACTGTCCCAGTTTAAGACCCAGGTTTGAGACCGTTGACTTAAGATAAGGAGACAGGGGGCCCAAGTCTACAGGATGGGATGTACAAGGGCCACTGGGAACAAACACTATCACTTCTGTCTTCTTTCATTGAAATTCAAGAAATTTTGTGCCATCTAGGTTTCGATTTCCTCCAGGCAGGATAAAGGTGACCTTAAGGAGAAAGCGTCTTTTTTGCTCAGTGGGACAAGTCAAATGAAAGTCCAATTCCATTGACATAAATAATAAAATGCTGTTTGTAAAGAAAAAAAATCCCCAGCAAAAGTCCATTTTGATTATTCTGCGAATGTTGATCCCAACGTGCAAAATTTCCAAATCTCTCAATTCCATCCTGTTAAAATAAGAGCTCCCACAAAAACTACTGGTCCAATTATTTAATTACATAACACTTGACATCATTGAAACAGCACATAAAAATATATTCAAATTCATCTTCCTTAAAAAAGACATTCAGGATATGAAAAAGAGTCTGAAAAACACAGCTAGCTGGCTGTTAAGTACGACATTGGCAACATAAATCGTAAGTCCATCCAAAACAATAAGAGACACTATCTTCTGTGAACAACGGATAGAGGGCAATGAAAGCAGTATTTATTGAACATGAAATCATGAATGTGGATCACAAAATGTGGTCATACGATACAGCACATCATCTCTTGGCGTATGTTACAGCAGTGAAGAAGTATAAAGCCGCTTTGGCACATTTGTAGTCACATTTATATTGCACTTAAGATATTTTAAAAGAGCAACGTTCTCATTTTCATATATATCTAAAATTTAAATCGTGCTACTGTGGTTTGTAGGGCAACACGAAGAGCCCAATGAGCGGTTTACCTCTTCAATCTGCCAAACGGGGCAAATCAGCTGAATGACGAACGAAAATGAGAGAACCCTCCAAAACAATGGTGGTTTTATGATTTCCGCAAAATCCAGCACGTGACGTGATCTCATCGCCCGCATGTTCAAATCGATATAAATACAATTGTGCTTTACTGTTTCCTGTTTGTTTGAGCACAAGCTTTTCCAAATGCTCTAATGACGAAAAAAAAAAAAAGATTTGGAAGACATCGGGCAGTAGTTTAAAGGCAGGGCTTTATTTGCAGGTATCTTCTGTCACCGAGGCGGAGACAAAAGGAGCAAATGGATTGATATGCTTTTCTCTCACTTGGCAGGTCAAACTTAACGCATGGCATGCTGAGTTTCCATCTTGTCATCTTTTAAAGTTGGTTTTATGATTTCCGCAAAATCCAGCACGTGACGGTCAATCTCATCGCCCGCATGTTCAAATCGATATAAATGCAATTGGGCTTTTCCGTTTACTGTTTGTTTGAGCACAAGCTTTTCCAAATGCTCTCATAGAAAAAAAAAAAATGATTTGGAAGACATCGGGCAGTAGTTTATAAAGGCATGGCTTTATTTGCAGGTATCTTCTGTCATTGAGGCGGAGACAAAAGGAGCAAATGGATTGATATGCTTTTCTCTCACTTGGCAGGTCAAACTTAACGCATAGCATGCTGAGTTTCCATCTTGTCATCTTTTAACCATATGCTTCTTTCTCATGCACATTTGAAGATACATTTTAATCTTAGCTACTTCAGATCTATTGGATTAGATTGTTTAGATTTGAATATCGGGGTCATGTATTTAGGATTCTTGGGGTATTTTTGCAATGATACCCATACATTATTATCATCCTTAAAGACTTTCTGACACATGGACCAGTAATCAGACTTGATTTTTGCTCCGGAGGTCACCATCAATTTGAAAATACAGTTAAACTTAATTAGGCCTGTGACCTCGTTTGTCACTTGAACTGTTCATAAAAACGAGGTCATGTTTCCCACTGAAATGAATGGAAATGCCATTTTCCCGTGCCAAGATTTCTTTCTTTCTTTTTTTTTTAAACAGTGTGAGGTTAAAAATAAATATAATCCATTATAGATATGTGAAAACACACTCAAAGAAATGAACCTTAAAAAAAAACACGGTGACTATTTATTGCTTGTTAACTTTAACAAAGGAGGAGAAAAGGGAAAGAACGACCACAGCGTCTCCATTGAAAAAGTCGCCCTCTATAAATAAAAACATTCCGTTTTCTTTTTTTTTGTGTGTGTCTTTCCTTTCTAAATCATTGCTTGATTTTGGTAAATCGGTCCAAACTTGTCTCTGTCTGTTCCAAAAATGTCATAAAATGGTACGTCATATTGTCATTTACTATAAAAGATTAATTTGACATTTCTTTTGAAAACATTTTTCTTCCATGTAATTTTTTGATTGTCTCCCTCACATTATCTATCACCAGCAAGCTCTTTGTCAAGAGCAAAACTAGTACAAAAATTCAGTGCTGACCTTGCTTTGCATGATGCACACAACCTGGCTACACAACGAGCTTTTTTTAACATTCACTTTAGCAGCTTCCGTTTTCTTTGCAGCCGTTCCAATTGTAAGTACTTTGTCTGCTTGTTTAGCAAAAGGTCAAAGTGTCACCATGGAACCTACTGACGCATACATTCATAACGCGACTGCTTCTGGCATTTGTGATCGGGTGAATGTAGGTGGAACTTCCACGACAACAGGCGTGGAAGGCTATTTTGATATGATTCAACCGACATTAACCGTTCATTGTCTGAAGGAGACGCTACATTCCTTTCAATAAAATATATTGTAAATAATATTTTCTGATGAAAATAAAAGAACTTTTTAGACTTTGTTTGGGCGACCACGTCCATCGGTTGTCAATGGATGATCGAGAATGCTAATAATGGCTATGTAGCACGAGAAGGAGGATAACATATATCCATCCGCTCATCCATAAAGACCGTTCGTATATCGAAAATTGTACATAGAGATAGTTTTTCAATGGATATTTTGTGCAAAGCCCAAATAGTTCATAAAAATGGAGATTCGTAACTCAAGGTCCACCGTATTCTGATTCAGTTGGAAAAGGATTATGATGGAAGGATTGGAGGTCAACATTCCCACCTGCTAGAACACAGTTTATTGTACAGAAGTTACATGTACTTACCGGAACACAATTTGGTTGCAGAAAAGTGCTTAAACATTTGGAAACAGGAAAGGCAATAAAATCAAATATGGAGTTTGCTTCCGTTCTCTTCTGAGCATTCATGACAGGGTTCCGAGGGAATGTTGACCAAGAGTTGTGTTGATTAAATGGGGCCAGCTGGCTCGCTCCTGAGCGTACTGAAGGAGTTCTAGGGCTTTTCCTTTCCGACACTGAGGATTGGTGGGTTTAGTGCGCAGGATGAAAAAGCAGAAGGTAGCGATCAATTACTTTTCTGGGAGGCTACTGCGTAACTGGCTAAGTTCGGCATTGTTTGGGGGGGGGGGGGCGGCATTTACAGTAAAAAAAACCAAAAACAAAAACCAACAACCAAAAAATCCCCCCTTGTGATCGCTTCTGCAGACCTGCGGCTCATAAAGTGAAGTGGCCATAACATGTATATACCAATATTTGGTTTCATGGCTACATTTATCTGTTGCGGTCTCTAGTCAGATGTGCTTTGTAGTCTGGAAATTATGTTCAGTGATTACACTTTGTTTTACTTTTGTTTGTCACTTATTTGAAGGTAATGTAGAAATGCGGAACTGATAATGGAGAACACAGATAATGGGGAACACAGAAGTTTTGCTTCAGTTTTAGGGAACAATAACCACGCCTATGGCTGAAGGTATCAAAAAAGCACCTGTCACTTAAACCGAGACTCCACAGATAAAAGCCTCTGTTGTCAAAACCTGGCATGCGGGTTGACAATGACACCGTCTGCAGAAAGATCTTTCACAGGAAAGTCGCACTTGTTGCAAGTTTCGTGGTCACTGCTTTCACAGCTGCTTTGAGGTGACTCCGGGGGAGGCTTGTACAAGATGCTGGCCAGCAAGAAGAAGATTGTCCCCAAAACCTGAAAGCAACACCGAAATCGACTCAGCCACATTCCCGCCAACCAGTCTAATTTAGTAGAACTGTACCGTATTTTCCGCACTATCATGCGCTTCGGAGTATAAGGCACACCTTCAACGAATGGCCTGTTTTAAAACTGTTTTCATATGTAGGGCGCACCGCATTATAAGGCGCATAGAATAAAAGCTAAAATAGTGGCTGAGGTTGCGTGACGCATCTACGAGATGGAGCGACACTAAAGGGAATACAATACAATAAAATACAGCTTTATTTATACAGCGCTTTCACAACCACTGTAGCTGTAACAAAGCGCTTTACAGAACATTTAAAATACATATTTAAGGCGCATCGGATTATAAGGCTCACTGTCAGCTTTTGAGAAAATGGGAATGCTTTTAGGTGCGCCTCATAGTGCGGAAAATACGGTACTTGTGTGTGTTTATTTTATATATATATATATATATCGAGATAGATAGATAGAGACCATTTATGATGGAAATGTAAAATTTCACCACACAATATATGAATTAAAAATGATCATGTCACACTCACTGCCCCATCAGATGGCACTGTTTTTCTAATATTTATTGTTTTCGCTTGTCATTCTTTCTCTCATAAGCTCCAGTGCATTCTCCAAGTCGGAAAAGGTTTGCCCAGTTAAAAACACACGATTGGCCAACTAAAATGTATCCAGTCTCGTGAGTGTTGTAGTTGAGTTCAGATGCATTCTACATATAAATGATTCACAGGTAATCGAAGGAAATTCAGAGCACTGATGTCTAACATTTACCTTATAAAGAATGCCAGCGAACAGTGTGTATCGGCTCATGGCCGTGTTCTGATAGAGGTAGCAGGAGCCCTGCTCTCCACACTTATCCTGCCATAGTAAGCAGGAAATATCAATCATGGAGCCAAATGCGATGGGTCCAGGAATGCCACCTGCGAGGAAACAGCAATTGACATCTGAGTGATGTGAGTCAAAAATCACAGCAAGACTACAGTATGTGGTCACTAAATCTTAAAAAAGCAGCTTCCAAATGATCAGGCTGCTCCACTGGGTTATATTAAGTAGAAGAACAAATGTCATTGCTATGGTTACAGACCGGATGACCACCTCTCAAGTTGTTTTTGTGCCATGTTCAGCATTGACTTAACTGTTGGGTACTGTGCTTTGACACGATATAGCCGTTCAGGATGCACAATCACTGGATTCTCATACCATTTTCACTTTAGCAAAAGCAGGTTCACAACAGATCATGACTGAAAAAAAGTAATTCTACTTGGAGAACTACAGGGAAGTCCAGATACAAAAAAAAAACAAAACGTTCTCTCTGACTACATTAAAGTAAACATGAATCTTACCAAATGTGCGTACCACAATCCACTGGATCCCTAGTCCAAAAGATCTCTGACTGTCTGGAACACACCTAAAAGAGTACAATACTAGTTATAATCATTACAAACCCCCCAGTAGTATGATGCAGTCCGGGTCTACACGCCGGAACACTACACCTCCAAAACAGCATTTGCGAATTTTGTCAGGGCAAATCAAAATCGACAGTTTCCTTGGAAGAATGCAATATTTGATGAACTTACCTGAGTGTGGCAGTGAGTGCCGGGATGCTACAGAGGAAGGTGAAGAAGATGATGATGAAGAAGAACGAGAGGAAGGCTGACATGTGTTGGCAGCTGCTGCCACACTTTCCTGCCGTAGCAAATCCATTCTGCTCCAAAGAGCCATTAGCCGAGACCACGCAGCTGCATCCAGAGTACACCTAGGTGCATGCCACAGGATGTTTTGTGAGGCACTGGATCATCCTCCCCTTTTTTTTTTTTTTTTTTTTGGGTGTGTTACCACTAAACACAGTAATTTGCACTCTATGCATTTTCTACACCGCTTTACCCGTTCAGGGTCACTTCTAATGTCACACCAACAACAAGTGAATTCATACATATTTCCCAATCATCGGCCATTTTGGAACAACATTTATTTGTTCTGGCTGTCACTTATATGTCACTGGTGCAGAGAGATTAATTTTTCCCAGGAAATAAATAATTTTCAGACTAATTACCGTATTTTCCGCACTATAAGGCGCACCTCAAAGCATTCAATTTTCTCAAAAGCCAACAGTGCGCCTCGTAATCCGATGCGCCTTATATATGGCTCAATATTCTGATTTCTTGGACGTAGTATTTGAAATTGCCTGTCCAGCGCTTTGTTACAGTTACAGCGGTTGCGAAAGCTCTCTGTAAATAAAGCTGTATTGTCGCCTTATATATGGCTCAATATTCTGATTTCTTGGACTTAGTATTTGAAATTGCCTGTCAAGCGCTTTGTTACAGTTGCAGCGGTTGCGAAAGCTCTCTATAAATAAAGCTGTATTGTCTTGTATTGTATTGTATTCCCTTTAGCCTCGCTCCATCTAGTGGATGCATAATGCAATCGCAGCCACTGTTGTAGCTTCTATTTTATAATGCGGTGCGCCCTATATATGAAAACAATTTTGAGATTGATGTACCTTTTTGCCCGTGGAGTCTTCTGTGTGGTTGATGGAGGTACAGCCAGCATGGCATGGGGAGTAATACATGACGTTATCAGCACCACAAACGGGGTTATACAGCTCCCAGACACAGCTGCAACCTTCATTGCAGCCCACTGTCAAGCTCTCCGTTACAGAAGAGCTGCTGAAGGAATTACCCAGCAGCCAGGATGGAACAGGAAAAGAAGGTTAGGTGGCGCTTCCTATACTATAAATTCAACGGCACTGAAAAAAAATGAGTGTGTTGAATTTACTCATTTGTACTTTTTCAAATGGAAGCACAAAATACAAACTCAATTCCAATGAAGTTGGGACTTTGTCTTACACATAAAGACAAACAGAATACAATAATATGTAAATCACGAGAGTCTGGAGAAATGACTGCATGTAAGCGGCAAGGCCAAAAACCAACATTGGCAGCACTGCATCAAAAACTGATATCAATGTGCCAAGGATTTCACCACATAGCCTCAGGAACACTTCAGAAAACCGTCTGTCGTTAAATACAGTTGGGTGCGACATCCGTAAGTGCAACTTAAAACTCTGCAAAGGAAAAGCCATTCATCAACAACACCCAAAAATGCCACCGGCTTCTCTGGGCCTGAGTTCATCGAACTGATCTGCCGGACCGAACATTTCCAACGGATATACAAGTAGATATTTACCTGTTTCTCGCCCTCAGATGATTAGGTCGGTCATAAAGCTGCTGGAACTGGTCCATTGGGTTTTTGACCGGCGACCGGTATGGGGTGGTGATTCCGGCCAAGGGCACATTCGGACAGTGGATGAGAAAGATGAAAATGGCGATCAGACTGACAGTGGCACAGAGCATGCAGAAACGAATGATGCCTCGGCAGCGGAGGTTCAGTTTCTTTACGATATAGCCCCCCAGGAAAGTGCCCCCGCCTCCTGCGGGTACAACCATGTAGCCTGGAAAAATGGACAAAGGAGAAAACAAAGAATAGTACAATAGTGTATATCTATAAAATGAATTCTACTGCTATGCTTATATTAAATTCCCGGCAACCACGGCAATGACCACGGAATGAGAGAAGCCCCCCGGTCCATGAGTTGGGAGGTCAGAACACGAGACACTGAGAAGGAGCAGTCGCGCCCACCCACATCCCCACATAGCTCCCAAAGACAAATGGCTGGCATACAAGTAAACCTCACTTTTCACATTTTCAAGTACAAGCAGTACTGAACCCTAAAAATCTCAGTTGTTCCTTAATACAGTAATGTGTTCATCACTCACCAAACCAGGTGGCAGCTTCAGATGCACTGAGGCTGAATTGAGACTCTAAGAATTTGGGACCAAATGTTGACATGCCAGCAATGAGAGTGGCCTCTGTAGCACCAGCCAAGCACAAAAACAAGAAGGTGGGATTCTTTAGGAGCAGCAGCACAGATCTGGAACAGAGGGTGGTGGGGTGGGGGGGGGGTGATTGGATGTTTGATACCACTTTTTTTCAGACCGATACCAGTCGAAGCCTTTGATTTTTGAGCACTCACCGATATGGGGGGGGTGATTGGATGTTTGATACCACTTTTTTCAGACCGATACCAGTCGAAGCCTTCGATTTTTGAGGACTCACCGATGACAGATATTTTTAAAGACCTTTCGTTTATTTCTGACAAAAGGCAAAATAGTCACTTTGCCATAGAGAATTGAAGTTCAAAATAAAACACAAACAACTAACTCAATTTAGGATTCATTCATAACAAATTAAGTGACAAATAAATCGAGCAGATCCCCGAAGCATATTCCTTGTTGAAAATATATTGCAATATGTGCAAAATAATACAGGTTCACCTGTTAACTGTTTTGTATGACACTATGAAGTTGGAAAAATATGGCTGCGCGATACGGCTGAAAATGTGATCACAATTTAAGTATTTCGGAACAGCGAATATAATTTTTTAACCTATTCAAAATAACAAAAATGGATTAAAAAATCCACCCAGAGAAAAAGTACCAGTCTCAGTCGATAAATAAGTACGTGCATGACGTACCGCAATGGAGAGTGTCATCATACCACTCACAGTGAGTTAGCAAATAACCATATAATGTTCACAGCAGCACACTAATAATGCATTCTAAGCATTGATTTAAAGATATACTCATAGAAATCGCATCTGAATGGAAAATTGAGAGGATGGAAACGGATGGAATTCAAGAAAGAAAAAAAAAATGAGTCAGCCATGCAGAAATTGCGCTAGCAGATAACCAATTTTGGTAGCAACACAACTCATAATGAACTCCAAGCATTAATATAAACCCTATAAACATACATATATACAAAAATTTCCTCTTAAGGGGCACGTGAAAGGATTGACATGGACACAGTTCACTTCTGAAAATCTTCCGTCAGCCATATATGCCATTTAGTTCCTGATAGTAAAGCGGCTACTAAAAGGGCCCCTTTGGTATCGGTGAGTGCCGTGCTGTCGCGAGTGTTGTGTATCTTAGTGAACGTTGTGTGAACTGCATGGCAGATTAAGGCCCAGCTAAGTGAATTACTTCATTTTAATTAAAACCGGCTGCTCTAATCCTAACAGCTCTGAGCTATTCTTGGTATGGTTACATTACTGTGATACTACATTGAATGATATGTCATGTTACATAATGTGCCCGGCTTAATCACTGTGGATTATCTAATGTTAAACCTCGAAGCCGTCTGTAAAACCGCAAATGTTTGAATGCAAAGATTTTTTTCCTGACTTATTAATATTGTGTGCAATTTCTTTTGGAGTTCTCCAAACACAGATGATTATTTCTTTCAAGATTATAAATCCACACCAGGCCATATTGTGTTTTACTATACCTGCATAAAATGGGCAAAATGTCAAACACATGCCAAAGCAGCAGATGGCGCTATGACTCCTAATAGTTTTGCCCATCAGGAGCCATGAAAAGTTAATTTAGTTGTAAAAAAGTTCCAGGAACAACTCCACTCAAACTCAATAGATCACAGACCTTTTCCAAGGTTAAAATGTTTAAGGAAAGGCCCAGAAAATTTCTCCAATAAAAATGGGGGTTCTGTGGTTGGATTTATGTGATACTGTGTATTTGTCTGTCCTTCTGTATATTAGTTTCAGATTCACTCTGACGAATTTAAGATGATAAATTTTGTACTCTGGGGTCACTGGGAGGATAACCGTGTGACTCATGCAGTGGGAAGAGAAACTATTCTGGGTTTATTATTATTCCACAAAGTATCTGGGAAATAGTTTTAGAATTTGGACCTCATTTCAGTAACATACAAGCCAAAAACATTTTTGTTCACATCTGGATCTGACCATTTCCAAAAGCTGCAGAGTCGAGCCATGCTTACCTTGGCATGTCTTTGACTGATTTGCCAAACTGAGGGTCCGAAGCTGTGGTGTGACTGCCATCTTTGAGCTGGTGGGCCTCAGACACCCGCGTGGCCTTGTGCTCCTGAGAACCTGGAGGAGGACCAAGTGAGATGGGACCAAAGAAAAACAGAACCAAATTCAATGAAGATGTCACGTAAGATAACAAAGCTATGTCTCACTATTTTAAATAATTTTATTTATTGTTTATACAGTTGAGACAAATGGCTAATGTCTTGAAATTGCAATTCAATTTCAAGACATTAGCCATTTGTCTCAACTGCATACTATATGCATATATATAATACGTGTACCAATTATGAGTACCTGGCAGCTGTCTTGGATAGCCCAGGATGGGAAACGCCACCAACAGAGCTGCTGCTCCTCCAAGTAGGAAGCCAATCCACCAAGCACCAACCCAAAGAGGGTTCTCTGGGGTCATCTCTGTCCTGTCACCACACATTCATCCATACGCTAATGACAGTGAGCATTATTTTAGAATATATTGAGATTTTGCATTTTTAGCAAAACAAAAAGTAAGTCAAGACGCAAACCTGAATTTGAGAAATGACTTAACTGCGAGCCACCAGTTTAATTGATCTCAATCTTTTGAAAATGTACCACCTAAAAAAATACTTTTCTCATGACCAATGTCAAAATAGAGTGCTATAATAGGCCTCGTGTTCATTAAAAAAAAAAAAAACAAGCTCCTATATCACCTTTCAGTTGACAGCATGTGGCAAAATGGCCGCCCCTGAAAACCTACATAAAAACTGTACCTGCAAAGTAAATATGGTTAAGTAACAGTTTTGAAAATGTAATGCAAAAATTTACCTGCAAAGTAAATAGAGTTAAGTAGCAGTTATGAAAATGTATCGCACTCCAAAGTTCAACCCAAGTGATGTATATTTTGGGCAGGGACCACGCTTTCAGAAACATGACACTTAAGTCCACCATGCTCCTTCCTGATCAAATTGGAAAAAAAAAAACATGATATCACCAAGGGTGTAGTCGTTTGTTCTTCCCTGCAGACAGGGTGGGTTCAGTTCAGTGTGAATGCGAAAGGGTTCTACTGCGCTGTCGTGTCCAGTGATTGATTGGATGCCAATAAGTCGAGTCAAAGTCAGCGGGGAACAGTGCCTCCTTTTTTCAACGCTGAACAAAATGAGTCGTCATAGAAATGGATGGATTCATCCGTCCATCTGCTCCATCTATTTTTTCATTCACACTGCGTCGACATAAACCAAACCCATGCTTTGTGCAGTCATGTGAATGGACCGGTAGCCCCCGTCTCTGACTTTCTAAACACCCATGTCATTTCTATTTCTCTTATTTTACAGAAAAATACACTGTCGAATAATTATTGAAGAATGCAACTCTCCCAAAACACACACATAAGTAGACTCACGTGAGGTGGATCTCAGTGTAAATGTTGAGAAAGTAACCCCCAAGTAGGTAACCTGCTGCTGGACCCACAATGGCTGCAGTGTAAAAGATCCCTGCGGGACACAGAATGAAAGCATGGGTGTGTCACTTCAGGAACTTTCTCTTTCCTTTTTCGTAACAAGAACTCAAGTTTTTGACAAAAGGGTCACTTTTCTCTGTTGCTGTGTTTTTCTGCTCAATAATGGATCAGGTTTCATAAAGGATTATGATACATGATACTGTTTTGATCTTATCATCACACAAATTACGCGTAAGGTACAGTAGATAGGTCAACAGCCAGCCAGTTGGTCATTAATCATTATGTTTCACATGATCCGCAAATAGGTTACAGTTTTAGTAATTGCCACTTGAAAATGTTGGATGCAAGGCAAGTGCTGTATTTTTTAAGATTGAAAAACGTGACTCACCGGTGTAAACAGGCCCGTAGTTTGACTTGACATTCTCATCCAGATACGTGACACCCAGCGTGTAAAGGGGTGTAGCGCCCACGCCGTGGAGAAATTGTCCCAGCATGAACACAAATCGATAGCTGGACAATCCCTCGCCCTCTTGGTCCTGGCAAGGGCTGGTCCGGTTGGCAGAGCACATTCCACTCTGCTTGGACAAACTGACCCGGTAAGGTGGCGTGGTGAAGTGAGGCAAGGCGAAGACCAGAGAACCCAAAGCCATGAGAAGCACCCCCCAACCCAGCCAGCGAGGCTTGTGGCCCGTCCCGCCAAAGTAGCTGACAAAGGCCAGGCAAATGCACGCCGCGATGTCATAGGAGCTGGCAATGAGGCCCGCTTGGTAGCTTCGCAGGTCGAAGCGCCTCTCTATGGTTGTCACCACGGTGTTGATGAAGCCATTGATGATCATCCCTTGGAGGAAAGAGGCCACGCACAGGAAAAACAACACCCAACGGGGAGTGTTGAAGACTTGGACAGCTTTGGGTGTCAGAGCCCCCCAGCCGCAAAGCTGATTTGAGTCTGTGGGGGTTTGATTCAACCTAATCTGTGACTCTGAGCAAAGGCTGCTTTGTGCCACATAGATTTGTCCTGGAAAGGTGGAAACTCCAGTGAGAATGGATGGCCGAACGGGAGCATCGGTGTGTCTGGCCCCCGAGTCTACGAGACTGTCTATGTGAGAGTCCACGGGGCTCAGGTCATCCAGAGACGGATCCCTGCTCAGAGGGGGGCCGCGTAGGTCAAGGAGCTCCCGCCTGGAGCTGAAGGAGGCATCAGCAACGGGCATTGAGGGTTTTGGGCTGCAGATGGGGTAAGAATGGGGACACTGCTTGGCGATGACAAGATACACGACTTGTGAAAGAGCTTAATCCAGGGGGGCGGCGGGGGGCAAATTGAAATATTCCAAGGTTCTAACCCAGCTGGTCTCTGCAATTAAAAAAGTACTTCTTTCTTGTGTACTACATTCCATGCATCCACACTTTCTGAGTGCGTCCTAAGGCTGTTCTGGTGCTTTATAAGGCAACACGACTGGTTGACTCATGGCCTCCTACAGAAGGACGACAAAAAAATTAATTAAAACGTCACCATAACTGTATATTGTCACAGTACAGTTTCCTATCCCTTTTGATGGTCAAGGAGCGTATTTGGGGCCAAAATGATCGCTTTTCCACTGCTACGAATCGAATCGGTTTGAGGCTTGGCTTTTTGGGGACATCTGTTTTTCCCTTAAATAGTACAATGAGAAAATGCATCAGGTGGAAAACAAGACCTGTTTACAAAGAACAAATTTCATTTTTTTTCTGGGCATGTGATTGTTACTCAAGGTATGTAAACAAATTATATTGAAGAGGAGACTGTCTGCAACAAAGAAAATGGAGCGGCAACAAAGTTGAAACTGTGGAGTATTTTACTGCACACAGCAAGCGGGTGAGGACACATCAGCATATATGTTAGATTTTTGAATTTAGAAATGTCGATGGAATGACACACCCCATTGACCAAAAAGACATTCTTGGGAAGTTGTTCATCCAATCAAACACAGTAGAACATGACCAAAGATATGTGAAGGAATGTGCATGTCTGTTGTATTACACTTGTTAAACAAACAAAAAAATTTTTTGAAAAATTGAAAATACGACCGAGTAAATGTTTACATTAGTCAATCATTTCTCGAAAAACAAATCAATAAAACCCTCCTCTCCTGCTAAAATAATATTTTGTCTGTGTTCTGTACATGGTATCTTCCATTGTGCTCCTAGAAGATATATGTACAATATTTATCACACTCCATCCAGCCATCTTCTCTACCGCTCACCGTGTTCAAGGATCGAGTGGAGCTGGAGCGTACGCGAGCTGCATACACCCTGAAGTTTGGTCGCCAGTCACCACTAACCATTGACACTCATTCACATCTCACACCATCACTAGTGGGAGCCGAACCCAAGCTGCCTGCGTGGTGAGCGAGTGAGCCACTATACCGTCAGTGACGCCGAGATAAGTGAGCGTTATAAAATGAGCAAATGATACAACCTAAAAAGTTTTGAGTAGAGCTGACAAATATAAAATTGATTGTTCAAGAGTGTCCTCAAAAACACAAGAGTTGCTAAAGATTATGAGTTACAGCCTCCTACCTCCACTCCGACATGTCACAATCAAGAGGTCTGCAAAAAGGTCTGCGGAAGAACGAAAGGAAAAGATGAAAGTGAAACAACTTCTAAGACCATCTCAGAAAGCCTCTTATAAAGTAGCGCTGAGGCAGCACGCCAGGACACGCCCATAAGGGTGGTGGGAGTGGAGGGGAGGGGGGGGGGCATGCTTGCTCTGGTGCGACATAAACCACCTGCGAGACACTACTTTCCACCTGTTATGACTCAGCGGGTCCATCGTGAGACAATTCACGATACATCAACCCCCTCCATTTTCTGTACTGTTTAACCTCACGCAGGTTGCAGGTGAGCCGGAGCATATCCCGGCTGACGTTGGCCCAGAGGCGGCGTACACCCTGAACCGGGTGCCAATCAATCGCAGGACACACATACACACGGCCAAGCATCTACGCAGTCACTGAGAGGCAACTGAACCGCATGCAGCCAAATTAGGCGAATGCTGCGCCGATCCGTGACGACAGTACAAACATTCACAAAGTTTTCATTTGCATCCTCGGGAGGTCTTTCCTGCTCTGTGGTAAACAAAGGCTTCTGAAGAAGCAAAGCACATGCCCCGAGGTTATGCTTGGCAGGAGCAGCAAATTCAGTTTGGCTCCGTTCAAACATGACACCCAAAATATGTCTGTGAAAATCAATATGTTGCTTTATCAAACCATCCAGGTTCTACACTGCTTATCTCATTGAGAGTTAGGGGTGAGCTGCAGGCCATTCAATGAGCTAAAATGTAGACGCCGCCCCACAGTAGACTCGTCGCCAGCCTATCGCACGGCATTTAAAGACAGACAACCATACCCACTCACATTCAAACCGTCACTGAGCGGGAACTGAAGTTGAGTAAACCACAACACGCCGGTGACCGCAAGCTGCTTCCTCAAAAACTGTGGTCTTGTTTCCAAAAGAAGCAGAGTCAACCGAAGAATTGGTTCCTTTTTTTTTTTCTTTATGATTCTTAATGTTATGTTACTCTATGACACTCTACCTCTGATCATAACTACAGTACCACCTCGCTATGGAGAACCGTGAGACGATCAACGCACAGTCACACAAAATAACACCACTGCATAAAAAACAATGCATAATTGCACATTAAGAGAGAGAAGCGTTACGGGAAGTAATTGGCAGTCATGAAACTGTTTAATGGGAAATTTACCAACAGACTGATATTGTATGCTGCACAGATATGAATAAAACCGTTTCGATATGAGTGTCGTGTGCGTGTGTGTGTGCGCGCGCGTGTGTGTGTGTGTGTGAGTGTGTGTGTGTGTGTGTGTGCGCGCGCGTGTGTGTGTGTGTGTGAGTGTGTGTGTGTGTGTGTGTGCGCGCGCGTGTGTGTGTGTGTGTGAGTGTGTGTGTGTGTGTGTGTGCGCGCGCGTGTGTGTGTGTGTGTGAGTGTGTGTGTGTGTGTGTGTGCGCGCGCGTGTGTGTGTGTGTGTGAGTGTGTGTGTGTGTGTGTGTGCGCGCGCGTGTGTGTGTGTGTGTGAGTGTGTGTGTGTGTGTGTGTGCGCGCGCGTGTGTGTGTGTGTGTGAGTGTGTGTGTGTGTGTGTGTGCGCGCGCGTGTGTGTGTGTGTGTGAGTGTGTGTGTGTGTGTGTGTGCGCGCGCGTGTGTGTGTGTGTGTGAGTGTGTGTGTGTGTGTGTGTGCGCGCGCGTGTGTGTGTGTGTGTGAGTGTGTGTGTGTGTGTGTGTGCGCGCGCGTGTGTGTGTGTGTGTGAGTGTGTGTGTGTGTGTGTGTGCGCGCGCGTGTGTGTGTGTGTGTGAGTGTGTGTGTGTGTGTGTGTGCGCGCGCGTGTGTGTGTGTGTGTGAGTGTGTGTGTGTGTGTGTGTGCGCGCGCGTGTGTGTGTGTGTGTGAGTGTGTGTGTGTGTGTGTGTGCGCGCGCGTGTGTGTGTGTGTGTGAGTGTGTGTGTGTGTGTGTGTGCGCGCGCGTGTGTGTGTGTGTGTGAGTGTGTGTGTGTGTGTGTGTGCGCGCGCGTGTGTGTGTGTGTGTGAGTGTGTGTGTGTGTGTGTGTGCGCGCGCGCAATAACGGCGACTAGCCTTTAGTTTCTTATTCTGCTCGTGAGTCAGTGCTAACCATTGCTAGCATGGCTAAAGGAAACCCCAAAGTTTGTTCGTATAAAGTAATATCGATAATCATAAAAAAAGCTGAATACTGTACCTTAATTTTGAATGTGGGTCACTCCTCTTAATTTGATGTATCTCTCTCAAAAAAAACAAAAAACATTTATGTTCCTTCGCTTTTAACACAGCTTGAGACGCTGCCTTTGTTGTTGTCTTATTTTCTATGTTTTGACTGTGCTATTGTTTTATTGTATCTTAATTATATATTTGTAGTTTTGTATGTATATACAGCGCTTTGTTTCGGCTGCGGTTGTTCATAAAATGAGTTGTCTTTTTCCACTTGACTTTCTAAAATGTTTGTGTTCTTTGCTCTTTCGTCAAATAAAAGCTTTGTTCTTGTGCTTCCTGTTGGACTTACTCCACAAACACATCAAACACATCAAACAACTACTTTGAGTCAAGGGCTGGTGGGTTTTTTTTTTTGGAATGACCAACCTTTGTTCTGCTTTTTCATGCAAATAATTTCCCTCTTGAATTTAAGGTATTTTTTATTTGTCCAATATTTTCAGATGCTGACATCAATGAAATCAATAATGTGAATTAATTTAAATAAAAACATGCACCGGTTCCCTTGCAGTGCTGTGAGTGTTTCTATGAATATGCACTAATTTCGTTCTGTGTGTAACACTGGTGACTTGAGACACAGGGAACCTGGTTCAGATTCCAGTCAGGCCATACAATGGATAACAATGTGGGTGGTTTACATCAGGAAGGGCATCCAGGGTGAAAACTGCGCCAAACATATCATGCGAGTGACTCGCTGTGGCGACCCCTGATGGGAAAAAGCCCTCAATCACTTCTAAGATGTTAAGTTTTGCAATGATGGAATTGTTTGATGTGTGTGTGTGTGTGTGTGTGTGTGTGTGTGTGTGTGTGTGTGTGTGTGTGTGTGTGTGTGTGTTTGAATGTGCGTATGCAACATAGCAGCCATACAGAAGCAAACCGGGGCCAAGAGCTCGGGTAAACCTGGCCTGGTCACCAGGAGACAAAAAAAAAACCCCAACTTACGGACAATTTAGAATGTTGAACTTAAGTGTCTGTTTTCTATTCGGGGAGCAGGCCAAACAACTTTGAGCAAACTCATGCAAGCACAGGAAGAACATGCAAACTCCACATTGGGAGTGTTAGGGTTATGGTTAGGATTAGGGTTAGGAGTTATGGGTTAGGTTAGGGATGGGTTTAGGATTGGGTCTTAATGGTTAGGGTTAGGTTAGGGTGAAGGGTTTAGTGTCGGGGTTAGGGGATATGTTAGGGTTAGGTTTGGGTAGGGTTAGGTTCAGGTTAGGGTAGGGTCGGGTTAGGGGTCGGTTATGGGTGAGGGTTGATTTTAGGGTTAGGTTAGGGGTTAGGGTAGAGTTAAGTTTGGGTTTAGTTTTAGGGTTTAGGGTTAGGTTTGGGTTAGGGTTGAGGGTTAGAGTTAGGTTTTTGAAAATAAATAAATAAATTAATTAAAATTACACCTACAGCGCTCTCTGACTTAAGTGTTTATAGCGCTCATAGCCTTTTTCAACATGTGCAAGATGGAAAAACACAGTGCAGAGATGAGGCAATCAACCGACCCTTCCAGAGGCAGAATCTATCAACTGATGTTACTTCACCTTTTGCCGTGGTAACATTTCAGTATTTATATACTATATAAAGTATGCAGTGATGCATTTGGTGCATGGATGACTGACATACATTGTATTTTATCTCTTTCTTCTATTCCATATCATGCTCACTCCAGTAGGCTCTAGTCAAAGGAATGGAGTAGTACAAATAATTAGTTCCAAACCATTTTTATTAGAATGTTACTCCTTGTGAACAGACGCTTAAGGCATGTACTTCTACTGAGAAATTCACAAAACTATCAACAACAAAAACAGATTCTACCCCTAATGCCGGAAAAGCTTCCGAGTAACAAGTAATCCTCTCTGACCCACCAAGCAGATCTGATTACTAGGCAGATGTTATGCAATCTTACACTGAGCAAAAATCAATCCAGAGTATTTCGGAAAGTTCTTATATAACATATTTGATGTACCGAAACAAAAAGGTCAGCATCTTACGGTTGTGATGTTTCATTGTAAGTAAGATAAGATAAGAAAACCTTTATTAGTCTCGCAATGGAGAAATTCCCAATACACAGCAGCAAAGTTATGAAAGGAAGAAAGTGAAGTGCTTTTTACACTTGCACGGAAAATAAGAATATTTCAAAGCGTAAAAATGGAGGGACACCTGTGACCCAACGCATGACACGGTGATAATTGCTACAGCAACAGAACATATTTTAAAAAATTAGAAACAGACTTGGACAATGATTCTTTCACATACCAGTAGAGGGAGCCCATAGTTTCAGACCCATTGCTCTTCAGCGTAGCTTTTTTCTCCTGTCCTTCCTGTTGACTGCTGATACTAGCACTGTTGCGCTGCAGCAAGTGTTTTTCAAACTTTTTTGAGCCAAGGCAAACTTCTTTCATTGAAAAAATCTCGCGGCACACTATTAGCTGAAAATGTGCCCCCCCCCCCCCCGCCCACGCTTATTTTAACAATTAACGTGTTATATTGTTACTATGGCCGTTTTTTAACATTGAAGAATGATGTTATAACTGCTTGAATTTGAATCAAATGAGCACAAAGAAAAAAAGTATTTTATAATCTTTCATATTTATTGTTTCACTGTCGTCCCGCATTCATGCGGGACAAATTCGCTTGTCTCCAGTGGTCGAAATACAAGGCAATTGGCTAGCTGTTGCTCCCCCCTAGCGGTATGGGAGTGTACTACACGATTACTTTCTGGGCGATAGACCACACAGGCATACAAATTGGATATTATACGCGGCACACCAAACAATGTCTCGCGGCACACCAGTGTGCCGCGGCACAGGGTTTGAAAAACACTGTGCTACAGTACAGAACACAAAGCAGCAGTTTGATGCGCTCTTACACAGGTTGAAGCGGACCAACATTTTTGAGACACAACAATTTTTATC